ATACTGTATATAGTTTTTAATATTTTTTATTTAATAATGTTATCAAATTAATTTACAAATTTTGAAGCAAAATATTTATCATTCATTAATATAAGCATTGTTACTACATGCAACAAATTTTTGAATTCAATTACTTTATTTTAAATGCACTGATTAATAAATAATCTTCATACTAAATAAGTACAAACAAATAGAATTAATAATATAATACCGTCAGGCCTCTATAAGTGCATACCCTCTCTAAATGCATGCTCAAATTCTGGCCCAAACATATACTTGAGCATTTTTTTATTATTTTCTAAGTGCATGTTGTTAAAGTGTTATCCAAGAGCACGCACTTAGAAAAGTCTGACTATAGTAAGCATTCATGAAGGTTCTAAATCACTAAATAATAAATAATCATCATGTTTAACCAACTAAATCAGACAAAATAATAAGAGATATTACAGTATATAACAATAAATACCATACCTTAATATATATATTGATTAAAAAAAAGATATCTTAAACAGTGAAAATTCAAAAGTTTGTATACCTTACTTTTATCTGCAATTATTAAAAGATCCTAATAGAGCTTAACACCATAGTTAAATGATTTTGCAAATTAAGTTCTACCAGAGGCATATAAGTACTGTCAAAAGAAAATTAAGTTTTGAGCTTTCAAGTTCACAACCTAATGACTTAATCTCTGAAAAGTTCTGATCTGTAACAAAATGAAGCGTTATTAAATTTTTTTAGTATTCACATATTTTGCATATTACTAACTAGATTTTGCGGAGGCTAAGTTCGCTAAGCTATAAGCTTGAAAGCTAAAGCCTAGTTTTCTCTTGGCAGCACCCGTATAATAGAATGATGACAATATTATTATATGTTGTAGTATTATTGCTCTAAATTAAGTAGAAAGAAAAATTTAATTGACGATTACTATATACTAAACAATATGAAATACAATGAATATTTCAACCAAGAGACCACCAATGATTCACCAATTCCAAGAGCAAAAATTTTTCAACAAAGACCCAGTAATAACAACACTGAAGGTAGCGACGCGCCAAAAGCAATAAAGATCTAAAATCTTCACCAATAACGTACCTAAAAGATGAAAGCTGAATTAACAATGATAGCACGAGGTGTTGAAAACTATCAGTTGAAATTTTCCAACAATGACAGGTTTCTAGCATGTTACAGTTATGATAATGTTACCAACTAAGTGAGTACTTTATAGTCTTCTAGGGATCTCTTATCAAATTGCACAGATTTAACAGTCATAGTATACGTACGTATATATTAGAAAAAATCATAATTTTAAAAATAAATCAGTGTTTGAAATAATAGTCTATTTTTAGAATTTCAGATTATTCTCTTGGCTGCACTTGTACATAACAATTAGGTTTTTAATAGACAATGTATGTAAATCAAGCATCAGTTCTAAGGTAATCTGGTATATGAGTATATGCTATATACCCGTATACTCGAATATATTTTTTTTACCCCGTTTTTAACCATTTCAAAAACCGCGATAAATTATAAAGTTGATTTAGAATCAAATTTAGATAAGCACTATTTGAAGAATTGGGTATTGTATATATTTAAAAATGTATTATATTAAAATTAGTAAATCAATATTAATATACGTAGTTATAATTCTAGTTCTTATTCTGAATTTTTATTTTTTTTGAAAATACTATAAGCAGTGGCCAATGAAAACTAAATACATTTCTATTGACCTCTAATTTGTTATTTTCCATAGTCTACTAATTCAGATATCTGCTGCAATATTGATATTGAATAATTTTTTAGATCATTATTTCATTTTTAAACTCTAAATTAATACAATTATTTTGGATCTATCTTATTTCACTAATAATTATTTTACTAATAGCTCATTAGCTGACATTACATAACTAATTAAATGCTAAATCTAATCCTATGTGATAAACCTTCACTAAAATAACTAAAGTAAGTAGCACTGCTAGATATAACTATTTTGTATCAGAGTTATCCAATAATTCCAAATAAGGCTTATATTTATTTGTTTTTAATTTAGTATAACAATGTTGTATAGCTACTTATTTATTATTAGACACATATACAATTTTATTAGCAATTAGTTTTTTAAATTATGTATATATAAGCTAGCAAAAATCTGAGTAGCACTTTCTTGTAAGCAATACTATTTAAACTAAAACAATTATATAGTTATATGGTGCATGTAGTCTAGAATCAGCATCACGTGACTTTTATATATATATCTTTTAAATTTGTTTATAATTAACAAAAAAAATGTATATTTAAAAAAATCTTTTTGTAAATTAACACTATAGAACAGGTACTATAATATTACAAAAAGATTTTTTACATAAACATGCCAGATTTAAATTTATTTATTGCTAAAGTTGTTACATTATAATATTAATTCCAAAATTTGGCCACTATATTTAATATATAGTAATTTACTAAACATGAATGTATATTACAATGATTTGAACTTCTGGAAACCCCTATCAGTTATGCTCATTTAGATTAATATTTATATCAATATATTATACATATCCTGATACTACTGTATATATCATGCGGCAATTAGACCATATAAAAAAATTTCATCTAGGTTATTTAGATAATTTACCAAGTGTAAATGATAATAGATGAACTTGTTGATTAAGTAATAATCCAAGAAATCATTTAACTCCAAAATAATACCACTTAAATTTGATTCTAAATCAACTTTATAATTTAATTTGTGCGAAAAAACTTGATATTGGTGAAATTAAAATAAAATCAAATTATAGTTAGTTAATTATCAATTACCGTGATTATCTTTAAAATTAAACTATTATCAGATTTTTGATAATATTCTCATGTTTTGTATTCTATTTCTTTATATTAATTGTTAATAACCAATCATAATTATTCATGAGTGAGATATTGCTTTGTTACTAGTTTAATCACGATTTTAGGATATTCCGAAAACCAACTTTAACTATCATATACGTATTAAAATACTGTCAGTCATTCGTTTGTTACATTTTATGCAATTGAAATTGATACATATGAACAAAAAATTTCCAGTCGGGAGCATTGTGATTACTAATATTAAATGTGATAGTCTAAATTAATATAGAGTAACTGTATAAAAGCTAATAAGAGCTCGTAAATTATCTAAGGACCTATATAAAAAACTGATAAGCAACTGATAAGTATTTCATAAGAAATTTTACGATGATTCTTCAAATCTTTCATCTAATTGGTTTAAAAACTTTTATGCATATTAAATTGGAAATTTTTGCCCAAATGATAAATTTATTAGTTCAATTAATAATAATTAGTCTTTACGTATTCAAATAATTTAAACCAAACAAGGTAATCTTAATGGTTCACATGTTAAATTTTAAATTTTAAAACTGATTAATAATGATAATTAAAATAAGATTTTATAATATGCATTAATGTGTATTATAACTGCAATTTATTATTTATTATTTATTATTATGCAGCTATTACAATTCAATATTTTCAGGGATTCTTTGATGTGATTTAAATTTTTTTATAGCAAATTCAGCAGCGGAAGGTGTTAATCCTTTCCTATATGCATCTATATATCTCCACGCTTTCCTTGCAAACTTTCTAATAGTTATAATATTAACGGAATCGAGAGCCTCTGGTACAGTTTTTCTTAGTCCTCAAAAAGTATAATCACAGTGGCTTCTCGCGTATCTCTTTACCGCCCCCCAATAATATTCGATATAGTTCAATTCCAGATGAAACTTAGGATAAAAAAAAATTTTATGGCCTCGCCCAAAAATGATTTCCTCAAGGATACTTTTCTGTTCCAAAAAGTCTGGCTGTCTAGACAATTTTTTCATATTGCAACATATCTTCTCTTTATCCTTTGAGCATTTAACACATTTGCCTCTTAATCGTTTATTCTATATTTTTCTTTCTATCATTACTTCTTTAATTCCTTTTGGTTGTTCTCTTTTTTTTTTATTTCGGTGATTTAACAGAAAGACCATCTCTTGAGGTGTACTATCAGAAAACTGACCGGGATGCAATTTTGGTTGTTTACTACTATAGCCAATATTCATCCTTCTCGCTATTAGTGCATCCTTAGCAAAGACTTCATAGTTGGTACTGTTATCGAATCCAAAGACAAATATCGTATCTGGAAGTGCAATTTCCAAAATATCAATTGCTTGTTTAAGTTGCTTGGCCAGCAATTCGACTTTCCAATAACCTTCATAGTTAACACCAATTTCTAACAGCTCTGTAACATAATGGTTTGGGATTTCGGGATGGGCTACATGTTGTTTTTCGGTCAAATGAACTCGACCCAGTGGTTCACACAAAAATTTGCTAACATGAATGCCCCTGCCTTGTCCTTTTGGATGTATTTTATATTCACCTATTAATAATTAGAATAGTGTGAGGTTAGTTTGCAAATAAAAAAATAAATCATGAATTTCAATCTCTAACATATCATATAACCTTCGGGCCCCCATCTCATTTTTTCATCGTTATTTGCGGATAATGTTGTCTCATCATGTGTTATTACACAATGTTGCTTTACTTTAGGAGGAATTTCCTTCTCTACTAGTTTAGTAAGATCTTCATCCTCATATTCAAGAAGAATGGGCTCTAGTTTCTTCATTATTAGCAAAAAAATTATTTGCTTATATTGCACCACATCTCCTCGCTCATGTCCAACTACATATATATCTTTTTTTTATTCTTTATATTCCCATCCAAGGTTCCTAAGCCATTTCCATGCCATTTTCTCACATATGGATGTTTTTGTTTCAACATCTAAAGAAGGGAATACCTCATTCTCGACGAAGTTTTTTAAAATTTTAGAATTCACACTAAACTTATGACTTCTTAGATATGATATTATCTGTCCAAAGTGTAACGATTGTGAATAACAAGGAATTAAACCATTATAACCAAATCGCTACTAAAAAAAATACCTTCATGGATATCCTCTCATCATCAAGAAGGCTTGATACCTTCGTGAATTTACCGCAATTCTTTTTGGAAGCTTTTGCCACTTTATCCAATTTTGAGCCCATGTACCAATATATTGTGCTTTATAGTCTCCCTATCCTAATGAACTAGCAATCGTTGTGCTTGCACTTATTCTAGTCTAACCCTGGTATCTTAACCGTAAATATTACAATAACACTTGTAAACGAATCTTTACACCTTTATCTATTTGATTGTCATCCTTTTTTAGCATACTATTCAACTCCTCAATTGCCAACCTTATTTTTGTTCTTTCATCAATATCTTTTTCTGCTGATACATCTACTGCTGATTCCATCGTTGTTAATTCTATTTCTGATTCTGATTCCATCTCTACTGATTCCACCTCCACTGATTTCATTTCCACTAATTCCATTTCTACTGATATATGTAATTCCATTGACGATCCACAAGTAGAAGTCGAAGCCAATGCAATATTAGAAAATGTTAAGATGGGAGCAAAGTAAGCAGTGATTGATTGAATGTCTTGTGCAGCCTTTTTTAGCTCTGCTTTTTTGTGTCTTTGGGTTCTTTTAGAACCTCCAACATAAGTTGAAGGCCTACCTAAAGATTTCCAGATATTTTTGTTTTCATTAGCTGTTAATAAAACAGCAAAATAATCGGAAGCCCTCTCATCAATGTCTTGATCTGACCAAACCAGATTCTCATAATCTGTTTGTTCATGAAATACATGAGACTTTTTCGCTTACTTCTTGGCCCTAGCAGCTTTAAGTTGCTACTTTCTCTTGTTTGGGCAGGTAATGGTGGTAGTGGCTTTAAAATGAGTAAATTGGAGTCAAATTCTGATTATCCCAATCAAAAACTTTGTGACTAGAATTAAATTATTATTATTTTTTTTTTTTTAATCTTTTTTTAATTTTTTTCTTCTTAATCTTTTTTTCTTTTTTCTTTATATTTTTTTATTTATTGTAATGATAATATGTATATTAATAAAGGAATGTAAGTGTTCGCTTTATAATTTTTCCGTCATTCTTCAGTTCACTCTGTCACACCTTAACTATACGTATAACTTCATCAGTCACTTAAAAGATTCAAATTTGAACGCTTTTATTACCATTACCGATATATTTATTTATTTCTGACCCTTGACTATTATATCATCATTGCATAATCGACAGTATATTTCTGACCCTTGACTATTATATCATTGTTGCATAATCAATACACATCATGTGTTATTGCATAATT